GCTGTGCGTTGTGGGGGTTGTAGTTTTCCTGCCGATGGCGCAGGAGCGTGCAGCCGGTTGCTAGGTGACGACGCCCAAACGACGCCGCTGCGTCCGCCCCCGCGCCCGGGTGGTTGCGGAGGTCCCGGCCCACCGAGCGAAGCGAGCGTGGACTGCGGTTGCCGGGACCCCTCGCTCCCGCGGGCCCTGGTGACTGCCGCGGCGGCAGGTGGAAGCGCCAAGGAAGGTTCGGTGGCCCGGAGCGCCCACGGAGCCGGCCGACAGGTACGGGACCGGTGCAGGTGCGGGGCGAGGCACAAACATCTTACCGGCGACTTTCCATTACCTGCAGGCCAGTTCTCACCTTCCTTGCTTTCGCTAACCACCTTTTTGGTCTTCTTCCCAGCTCCCTGATTAATGTTTACGGTGTCTTTTTTTTTTTTTTTTTAATTTTTTAATTTCCACAATGAAAGGTGCTTTTGGAAAGGTATTCTCCCGGATTCACTACTTCCCCTAATGGTGCCCTCATTGGGATCTATAAAAACACTCACCAAAATCCGAGTACCTATTATGTGCCAAGCAAAGAGCTGAAAACAAATATGTGGTCTTACTTAAAATTCCATTTACAACTGAAGAAACAGGCACAAAGAGGCCTGACTGTAGGAGGTGGGTCTGCCTGCCCCCAACAGCTTTGCCCTTTCCCCTGGCCCCCACGCAGCACCACGTCACTGGAGTGTTCCCAAATGTGCGGATTTAAGACACAGGAGCGGGCTGTCCCTCGGACAGAATTCAGAGGTATTCACTCTATTCCATGAAGCTCAACGTGAGTCTAGGCAGGGCAGCATCTGAGATTTCCCTTGTGGGGGCAGTAGTCCGTGTTCATTTTGGGGTGCCTGACTGATTGTCCCTGCTCCCTTCTAGCTGCCACCCAGTCACTGCTCCCGTAAAGAGCAGAAGGCCTCCAGAATCAACCCTTATCTTCAATTCCTTTCCATCTGTTCTTTCTTGAACCTGCTTCAATCAGATTTTCGCCCAACTGCTCCTCTGAAGCTCTTTATCAAAGTCATCCCTGACCTTGATGGTGCTCAATCCAGTGATCAGGGCTCAGCTCTCATCTCTCCCTTGAGCTGTCCGCAGCAGGTGACCCAGTGACTGCTCCCCCTCCGTGACACGCTGTCCTCACTTGGGTGCAGCAGATCTCACTCTCCACCTCCCCTCCTCCCCTGGAGGCCCAGGACTCAGTCCTTGGAAGCTACCCTATCCATTCTCTCCCTGGGTGATTTCCCACAGTCGCATGGTTTTGGGAATAACCGTTATCTCCCTGACATTTCCAAAATTTTCATCTCCAGCCTGAACCCTGGGACTCCACACCTGTTAACCTGTTCTTCCTCACTTGGACTTCTAACAGATCTCAAATTCAAAATGTCCAGAACTGTACTCTCAATTTGCCTCCATAAAACCTGCTCCTCCCAAAGCCCCCTTGTCCTCATCATTAGAGTCTGGAGTGAACACTTTGTGGACTTACATTCATTCATTCAAGGAGTGAATGACTGTTTTCTAAAGATCTGTCCTTGGCCAACTCCAAGGCCCAGGGCTGTTGTTGCTGCTCAGAGACTCCCTTCCTATGCTTTATAGTTTGAAATTGGGCTGGGACGAAGGCTGACCTCACAGAAGTGGGTGTATCAGTTAGGATTAGGTTCGGCTGCATGTAACAAAAGGTCCCAGCATCACAATGCCCCAAACACGATTATTCATGTTCCCATAAAAGAGGTTCATGGGGAGGCAATCTTGGGACGTATGGCAGCCCTGAAGTCATCAGGGTTCAGTTCTTCCCACTGCCATCCTGTGTGTCCTCATGATCCAGAATGGCTACCCAAGTTCCTGCCATCACCACCTGAGCCCAGGCACCAGATGGAAGATAGAAAAAAAAGGGTATGCCCCTCTCTTTCAGGGAGACATTTCAGAAGCCTCACATACTTCCACGTCTCCGAGGTAGAAGTTAGGCACATGACCGTACCTAGCTGCCAGCAAGGCTGGGAAATGTCGTCTTTCAGTTGGCAATAATAGGCCTGACTAAAAATCAGGTTTTTGTTACTCAGGAGAAAAGGAAGAGTGGAGATTGAAAAGCAGGTGGAAAAATCCTGCCACGTGGGTCTGTGCTTTACACACAAGCCACAGGAGTATGATTTTGCAGCAATCAACTTAGAAACAAGCGTCAGTCATGGGAAAAGAATATATTTTAATTAACACATCTAGGTTCTTATACGGATAAGTCCTCTTTAGTAGTTGAGAATGTTGAACTGGCTTGCGTCTAATGAAATTTAAACTTTCTCATATAATCTCACCTCTGTCTGTAAAGGATTTGCTAAGAAAAGAGAAGCTTTTGGGCCGGCCCGGTGGCGCACTGCTACAGTGTGCCGCTTGGGAGCATGGCGGCGCTCCTGCCGAGGGTTCGGATCCCACATACAGACCGGTTCCCGCTCACTGGCTGAGTGAGATGCGGGCGCAGCACCGAGGTTTGCGATCCCGTTGCCGGTCCCTGGTCCAGTACGGGCACGACACTGAGGGTTGCGATCCGTTGCCAGACATGAAAAAAGACAAAAAAAAAAAAAAGAAAAGAAAAGAGAAGCTTTGGTTGAGCCCACCTTCAGAGTTGCCTTAAATATGAGATAGTCAAGTCCTGATTAGTGAACTTAATGTCAATATGAGAAAAACAATCACTAAACTTCAGAATTAAATCCCACTTCTCACATAGGTGGTTTTTCACCACTAAAATAAAGCTGAAAATAACTAAATAACTAAGGAAGGAAGGAAGGAAAGCTGAGGCGCTGCAGGCCTGCACTGGAGTTGGGCAAACCTTACTGCCTATTTCTTACCCAAAGGTGGGATTGTTCTAAGTTCATAGGCAGATTGCAGTGGGATTCAGAATTCAAGCATCTCTTTTCCTCCTGTCCGCCTTCACAGTGCACCTGCTCTGTGCCAGGTGTGGGGGTGCAGAGCCCCTGCCTCAGGAACCCCCAGGCCCGACAGTGAACCAGAACTGCGGGGCAGACTGTTCGAGTCAGGCTGGGCTCTGGGGGGGCCCTCCTTCCCCTCTCCTTCGACTGGTTCATCCATTCATTTCTTCCAGTTTGTTCCATCCAGGTCCACTTTGGACTGGGCAGAGAGCTTGGCATGGTTCTGTCGCTCGGCACCATGGATCATCCTCTCTTCAGAATGTTCCAAGCTCCAGGATAGGAGGGGAGGACAGGGAAACCGTCCCACCCAGAGCCGCTCCCACTATGCACACAGACCCCCACTCTCACTGCTACGCCAGGTGCAGGAAGGAGCCCCGGTTGAATACCTCGTCCCTCCGGGCAGAGCTGTGTCCAGAGTGAATTCACGAAGGCTGGGGGCAAGGGGACCCCAGGACTCCATCCCAGGGCAGCCCCCCTCAACATGACTGGAGCAGTCAGGAAAACTTCTCTCTAACATTGTTTCTGTAACAATGGACTTTTTGCCTAGGCTTGTGCTTTCCTTGTGAGTCCTGGAACGCGTGGATATTATTTTCCTTTGTTGTACTGTTGAGGGCTCCTCTCCCACGTGGTGATGGCTCATCCCAGACGTCAGCATGGACCAGGCGGAGGACTTTAGACCCAGCCTGGCCTCAGGGGCTCTCGCAGATAGAGGACCCACCTTGGGGATAGGGGGCCCAACACCCCCCTCCCGACCCCCAGCCAAGGTGGGTTTTGTTCTCTTCTTTGCTTAGAAAACATGTTGTGGTATATATTATTTTCCAGTTGAGCGAGAATAAAAACTGAACTCTATCGCACTATAGGATCCATATAAGTAAAGGTTTTAAAAAAGCAGCTGTATAAAAAAGAAGCTAATACGATCTTTACTAGTCAGTAGTGCCGATGCTGCCCAAGGCCACACAAGGAGCAGAACTGGAACCCCTGGTGCCTGCCCCACTTCTCTGCCCTGCCTGCTCCAGGACAGGGGGCCCCCACCCCCACTGTACCCCAAAGGCCCCACTTATGCTGTAGAGTTTTGTAAGTACCTCAGTTATGCTGTGGAGTTTTTAAAGTATAGGTGACCCTGGTAAAGACAGGATGAGGATCAACGAGCAGCCGAGCTCACCCTGTTTTCTGTGCCTGCAGGGGAGCCCCTTTGCTCTCAGTGACGCCTGGAGGGAAATCCAGGGGATCCCCCTCCCCACTGAGCAATGCCCCAGAAAAGTGCTTCCTGCCCGCAGCAGCCCAGCTGTGGCCCCTCCTGGCTGTGTTCAGCCGCCTGGATCTACCTAGGTCGCCAGGGCAGGCTGGGCCTGAGGCTGAGTGGCCCCTCACCCACCCACCCCTGCCACGCCAGGCTCCTGCCCGCTCTGCCCCTCCCCAGGAGAGGGCGCTGCCTTCAGAGAGGCTGAATCAGCGACTAGGCACAAAGCCTGTCGCAGGCTGAGGCCCTGCTCTGAATCTGTCCCAGCAGATGCACTCACTGCATCTCCTGAGCCTTTCTGCTCACAGCTGTGGAAATGCTCAGCCCCAGAAGACTCAGCTAGAGGTGAGCTAGTGATCAAAGGAGAATGGGGGAACCTGGGGACCCTGGAGAGGGCCAGTGGGGAGCACAGGCGGTCTTTCTGCCACAGCCCAGCCTTCCACGAGTAGAGGTTTCCCGCAGGGGTGGAGGGTCCCCAGGCAGGGAGAGGGAGAGCCGCTCAGCAAACCTCTCTTTCCAGTCAACAGAGTCTGTCCCAGCATCTGTGGATTTGGGTGTTTAATGGCTTTTAATCTGGTGTCATATGAACCAGGAGAGTCCCTTGCCCCAGTACCATCAGGATGGCACTGGCCTGCAAGGAGTCACGGGCAGGGGTAGTGTCGGGGGAAGGTGTCGGCCATCTCCTGGGCTTCAGCCCCTTTGCTCTGGGCGGCCTCCAGGGCGGGGACGCGTCTGGCCGTGGCAGCTAGCTGACTCAGTGCCAGTGGGTCATGCTCACTTTGTTTTCTGGGACTTGGTCTCCAGGGCCACCCTTAGCACCAGAACGTCAAGCCAGTTTCAGCAGAGTTCCAAATTCCATGAGACCGTTCTTCTGGCCTCATTAAAGAGGGGCTCCTGCTGGCTTTTGTGTCCACGCTTAGGCAGGGCTGGGCCCTGAAGCAGCCCCTGAGGGAGCAGCCCCAAGTCAGGCCTCAGTCCTGGGTGGTGCAGCCAGTGAAGAGGTGGGGACACAGGCCCCAGGCTGAGGCAGGTGGCCGCAGAGGCTTCCCGTCCCTAACTGCCCAGAAAAACCCACCCAGAAACATGCCAGATGCAGGCTCCTCTTGGGTGGGATGGTCTGCCCACTGTCACCCCAGGGCTACCTGCATCACCTTCCCGGAAATCCCCAACGACGACGCTCCCGTGGGTTCAGCCCCTGCATCCCCGACCCACATCTGCCCCTCTCTGGGATCACTCCCGGGACAGTGCAGGGCCTTCTGGGCTGGAGGTGGGTTTCTCTGGATCTTCGGGCACCCGAGTCCAAGTCCGCTGTGCATCGCTGGCTCCTGCACTGACAGCGTGCGGGGCACCCACAGCTCTGAAATTCCACCATTCATTCGTCGTGCTCAGCGCTCAGGGGGCCCTGTCTGTCTGACAAGCTGCATCCTTCAGTTCTGGGGCATTTTCTTGTTTTATTCTCTCTTCTTTCTGGAATTCCTGTTCGTTAGGATTTGGACCTTTTGGAATGGTTCCCTAATCGTCTTCGTGTTTTCCTTCTGCTTTCTACAGCTTCATCTCTTTCTGCTGAGAGTTCCTCAACTTTATCTTCCATCTCTTCTGTTTACGTTTTTAGTTCTGTCATGTTTTAATTTCCAACAGACCTTTCTTTCCCTCTAAATGTTTCTGGTTCCTTCTCTCTCGGATGCCGATCTCTTTTTATCTCTCGGAGGGTGGTCGGTTGTTTGTTTCTAGGCTTCTCCTGCCTTGTACACGGCGAGTTTTCTCCTGGCTCCTTGCTTGCTGGCTTCCTAGTTTCCGTGTTTCGTGCCAGAGGCTTCTCTGAAGTGTCTGGTGACATCTGTCCTCCCCTCCTCTTTAAGTGATGGCAGAAGGGGGCGGAGGGGGAAGATCCACAAGCCTGGCTCACCGAGGACCTGCCAAGGTCAGTGTATGTAAGTTGGGGTTTTTTAGTCATTTTCTAGGCTGGAGGGTATAGGTATAGTGGCTGGTAGCTGGAGCTGTTCCACCTTGTTGGGGGGATGGAGGAGAGATGTCCCCTGCTGTCCCCAGAGCACCAGAGCCCAGCTTCGCCGTGACTGGTGCCCAGCAAGGCCAGCAGTGTGGTGGCCCTGCATGCCCGGCCCCGCCGAGAGAAGCCGCTCAGTCGTGGCGTGCGGAGGGGCAGGGAGGGCAGGCCTGGCCCCGGCTGTCCTGAGCAACCAGGCCGAAGCCCGGACTTGCACACCGCATGCGAGGATGAGCACCTTTGCTGACAAGGTCCACCCTCCTCTGAGGGCAGTTTGGGGGCACCTGTTGTCATTAGAGTCGGTTCCTGGGGTGCCAGCCTCACCCCAAGCAGCTTCTCCGAGGCCTCCCAGGGAGGGGTTCCAGGCAAGCTGCCTCAAGCAGGTGTGTCTCCAGAGTGTCCAGTGCCCATAGGAGGCCTGGCACTCATCCACTGTGCATTCCCTCTGGTTCCCTCATCTTTAAAATGGAGGCATTGAGCTTGGGGACCCCAGGCTCTTTCTCACCCCACCATTTGTGACTAGTCACCCTTCTCTGCTGGGCTGAGGAACACGCAGAGGCCAGGTCACCAGGTGCCTCCCTCCGCTCTCCAGTCTGGGTTTATTGAAGGGGTCGACCCCCGTCCTGGCAGCATGGCTGTGGGGCTGGGGAACGGGGGGCTGCCTGAGAGCCTCAGGGTGCAGGTCAGAGAGGGCTGGTGCTACAGGTGAGTGAGGGGCCAAAGGGTGGACTCACCAAGACCAGCCCCAGCTGCTGGGGCAGCAGAGGCCCGCAGGGACAGTCCAGGAGGTGGATCTGGGTTTCCTGAGCCGGGGTTCCCACCTGCATCCAACACTCCTCATGGCCCTGGCACCCGGATGGACTCATTGTTTGTGTGGGGCAGGGGCCTTCAGTGGCTTCTGCACCAGCCAAGCTTGCAAACCCATGGTTTGTTTTCAGGGTCCTGCCCTAGGAAGATGGCCTACTATGAAAAATGCATTGAAACTGTGATTGAGCAGCTGAACAAATTTAAACCTGAGAAGGACAGTCCTGAGGAGTTCCTGGAGGCCGCGTCCACCTCCCTGCAGGTAAGGGTCAGGGTGGCAGCATCCGATTCATTCTTAACAACTGCCATCCTTCCCAGTGGGGAGAGGCCCGAGACAAGACTCCAAGTCATGGGGGGCTGACAGTGTTTCCCACGGAGACCCCTCTTTGTTGTGGGAGGTGCTTCTGGCACCCAGGATGTGCTCAGACCAGTTTTGTTTGAAAATAAGCATTGGCCGTAACTCAGGAGATACAAGAGGGCCCTGCTGTGGCTCCGTCCTCAGTTAACATAGAAGAGTCAGCCCCCGTGCCCCGCCGTTCCCCGCCCCGCCCCGTGTCCCCAGCCCAGCCCCTGGCCCGCGCACAGGCGGCTGCTGCAGCTCGCTGGGCCTCTCCCACCTGGACACCAGTCTCCTGCCGCTCCCTGCACGGCCACCGGCCTCGTGGACAGCTCTGCTCCTCCGCTGACAGCTCGAGCCCTCCCGCTTCCTTGTAGTCAAATTCAACGGTCCAGCCTCAGCACCCTCCGACCCAGCTCTGGAACATTCCCTGTGGCTTCCTGGGAACCACACACACGTCTTCCTCCCCACAGCGGCTGCTCCTTCTCAGGCTCTGGCCTGTCACTGTCGGGGGCACAGGGGCTCTCCTTGTCCACACACCCCCGGCCGTCTCCCCTGCTGCCCGCCCACAACCGCTCTTTCCAGCCCTGACCTCTGTCCCGAGCCCCAGACTCTAAGGCAAACAGCATCTCACCTGGATGTCCTCTGACATCCGGAAGTGAAGAAATTCATCTGACCCCCCGCCTGTCCCTTCGCACATGAGCTGCTCATCCCAGTGGCCCCAGCGCAGCCTCGGCAGCTCCGTGTCCCCTTGCTTAGGTGGCAGCCCTGGGCAGCTCTCCCCCCAGCTCTGCCAGCCCCTGCCCCTGCAGCCTCCGTGCAGGCACAGCCCCTGCCTGGGTTCACTGCAAAGGCTCCCGACTGCTCTCCCTGTACGCCACTTCCCCTCTGTAGTCTCTTCTCCCCGCTGCAGCCAGAGAGAACGTGCTGGAACATGACACAGATGGTGCTCTCTACTGCTCAGACCTCCGTGGCCCACATCTCACCCAGAGCGAAGCCACATCTCCATAGTGCCCCCACTCGGCCTCCCCACATCCACTCTGCTCCAGCCACACTGGACTGCTAGTGTTTCTGGAACATTCCACATGCGCGTGCCATTTCCTCCACCGGGAAAGCTACCCCCAGAAGCTCCCCTAGCCTGCTGAGCCCATATTTTGCAGGCTTTTTTTGAGGAGACCCCCCTCCTTAAGGAAAAATGATAAAGTTAAAGTTTTTATTTTTTGGGCCGAGCCCGTGGCGCACTCAGGAGAGTGCGGCGCTGGGAGCGCAGCAGCGCTCCCGCTGCGGGTTTGGATCCTATATAGGGATGACCGGTGTGCTCACAGCGCTCACTGGCTGAGCGCGGTGCGGCCGGTCTCAAAAAGGACAAAAAAAAAAGTCTTTATTTTTTTATAATAACTGTTAAAGAAAAATGAGTTTGTTACAACAAGTAGATTGGGGTGTTTTTATTTTCCACAACCAAATTGTCTATGTTAATGAAATAATGTACTGTTAATGGTAAATGAGACCTAGCTGCCAGCTGGTGAGTCCCAACATGGTGACCATTCTTGTGTGTGTGCACCGGGGCCTGGCACAGTGGGGGACAGAACTGGCACACCTGAGGGAGTCTGGCCAGCACTTTCGAGGCCAGCGCTGATGCCACATCAGGTGGAGCCACCTCTCCACCTTTTTCAGATCCTTTCAAAAGTCCATTGTAAATTGAAGCGGGAAGGTGCACTGAGTCCTGACCCAGTTTGGACAACTCACTTTTATCTCCAGCTGCCAAAATAATCATGATAATACACCGGTTTTGTTAGGCCAAGGCTCAAGGACCCACCCGCCAGAAAACTACACAACAGGTAAATTGCCTGGCAGAATCTGGACAGCAGGCCATGGTGAAGGCTGCGGGTCACATTGTGTGCCCCCCAAATTTTTCAAGATCCTAACCCCTGGTTGCCTGTGAACATGACCTTATTTGGAAATACAGTCTGTACAGATGTAATTGAGTTAAGGATCTTCAGATGAGGTCATCCTTGATTTAGGTTGGGCCCCAATCCAGTGAGTGACTGGTGTCATAAGAAGAAGGAGATTTGGACAGACACCCGGAGAGGAGAGAGCCATGTGACAATGCAGACAAGATCTTGTTACCACAGGCAGAGATTGGAGCGTTGAAGCCATAAGCCAAGGAGCACCAAGGAGCGCCCATGACCTCCAGAAGCTGGGAGAGAAGCTCAGCACAGATTCTCCCTCGGATGCCGCAGAAGGAGCCGACCCTGCCGACACCTCCCTTCAGAACTCTGCCTCCAGACAGTGAGAGAATGCGTATCTGTTGTGTGCAGCCACCCTGTTTGTGGTCATTTGTTATGGCAGCCCCAAGAAACTACTGCAGACTTGGAGCCTCCCGGGGGAGGCCAAGGACAGAGGGGTCCAGGCTGGGACTGGGGGGCTCCCAGAACCACCCAGAGTTCCTGCTGAAATGCTGGGCCCCGGGGACCTGTTGGAAAGGTGGGCACCTGCAGCTGGTGCAGCAAAGGCCTGGCCCAGCAGGGCAGCCCTCGGACATGAGGAGGGTCCAAGGAGTGCTGGGCTTGTGGTGGCTTTACCCTCTCCAGATTCAAGTGCAGGAACACTGCCCTCTCCCCTGGGCGCCCCCCACACACGCACACACACGCGCACACAAACACACACATGCGCGCGCGCACATAGAGCAGCATCCCGTCCCTGTGATAGAACTTCCCTCAGGGGCATGGGCCAGGCGATGCTTTTCCACAGAGAGAAGAACACACATCCGTGGGAAAAGATTTGGTCTATAGACCAGAAAGGGGTCATTAGCCCTCTAGAGACACTTTTCCATCACCGTGTACATGGGGCCTCTCCAGATGCCAGTCTCTGGCATGGATTTGGGCCGGGGTCATTTTTAAAAATGGAAGTGTCCTGACACGGGGAACAGCCTTGAGAAGCAGGCAGGATGGGGCCCATGGTGGACGGCCTGGAGCCAGAAGAGGCCGACTGCCCTGGGGGACCCTGGACCACACTGCGGCAGGCAGCACCTACACCCAGGCGAGCTGCCAGCAAGGAGCCAGGGCCCCGCCTCAGCAGGCCTGAGTTCTCCCCTGCAGGCATGGCCAGGCCCTCAGGGAGGGAACAGGAACTAGAGAGAGCCCCCCTCCCGGCCCCCTCCTCGCTCCAGGCTCTACATCCCAGCCCCCACCCCTGCGAGGCCCCCAGGCGGCTCTGAGGGCCTGGCACGTGGCTGCTGCTCCCCCTCCTGGTCAGTTAATGTCTCTTTGTAGCAAGTGTAATTTCAGTAGGGCACTGCTCTGGGGACTGTGAGAGTTTTATGTGAGGGGGACAGATCCAGGTGGTGTCACTCCCTGGGCACTGCCGCGGCCACTCCTGCCTCTTCCCCATGTTCCCCCGAGCCCCCACTGGCCTGGCCAGTGCAACAGCCAGGGTTGACAGGCTGGGGATAGGAATGGCCAGAGGATCGACTCAAGGGACAGAGGTAGGGGTGTGGTGGGCACAGCAGGCAGCCCAGGTCATCCAGAAAGGCCAGAGGGTGGAGCCAGGCTTTGAACAGGGTCCGGCTTGAAGAGAGACTCCCTGGGGCAGAGGTGGGATGGTGCCAGGCAGAGGGACCTGAACAAGGTGAGACCCACGAACTGAGGGGTTCTGACCTGTGGCCCAGAGTGAGCTCTCGGTCCATGGGCTGTGTGGGCAGGTGCGTCCTGAGCAGGGGAACGAGGTCAGGGCTGGGCTGCAGGAGAAGCACCAGGCAGCTGGTCAGTCGGACAGTCCAGGGGCAAGGCCGGGGTCGGGAGAGGCCCAACTCAGCACCTGCCTGTCTCCCGGCCAGAGGGCAAGGGGTGGCAGTTAGGGTGGGCGGCCAGGAAAGAGGGGGCTTGTATAAGAGGTTAGGGCAGAGCAGAGCAGGGGGCCTCCCCCCAGACCCATGCCATGGGTAGAGTGAGCGGCAGGGTTGGCCACGTCCCAGAATGCTGTGTTCTTACCTGTCCTGTCAATTGTTTCAGAGAAAACCTGGGCACAAGAAATATCTTTTATTTTAACATTTTTAAAATACCTGATGTATTGACATTGGTTCAAAATCTCAAAGGTTCAGAGTGGTGTCCGGGGGAGTCTCCCTCCCACACCGGCACCCCCAGGTAAAGCAGCGGGCATCCTGCAGTCCCCCCACAGACGGCCCACGCTTCTCTTGCATCCGACAAAAATGTTTTTAAATTATATAAATTTTATGTATAAAAATAAGGACAAAATTGTACCTTTTAAGTATACATAATATGTATGTATTTTAGTTTTTTCTGACAAGGTAGTAGGGCTGTCACGCAGTCCTGCGCTTTGCTTTTTTCACATAGCAAGGTGTCATGGGGAGCGTCCCCTGCCAGTTCCCTTCATCCGTGCACTGGGATGGTTCCATGTCCTTGTCCTGTTCATCGCCTGGCTGTGTCATAAGTAATGTAACTGATCCCTGTATTTTACCGTTACAACTGCCATGGGCCTGGCTGGCCTGCCTGTCCCTCCACTGCTGGACAGGTGCAGCCAGGGTCAAGTCCCAGAAAACACAGATTCATGCTGTGAGAGCAGTGACCACATTGCCGGGTGACTCTCGGCAGAGACCCGCGCACCACTGCTCTCGCCGGCAGGTGGGGCGCTTGTCACCCGCGCCCTTGCTGCGCAGCGTGCAGCAGACACTTTTACCTGTGCTGGTCAGACAGGGGGCGGGCACTTGGCGTAGTTATAATCGATATTTCTGTCATTATATTTTATGAGCTTTAAAGCAATATGTATTTAAAAAGAAAAAAACAACTGCTTAGACTTGTATCTGTTTGTCTATAACAAAATCTAAAAAAGCAGTGGCTTAAAGAAATCAGCAGCGCCCTTGCTTGTATGAGAAGCAGTCTGTAGCCAGGCAGTCCAGGGTGGGTTCA